CGGAGCTGGTCGTAACCAGAAAAGTTCGTTAACAGAGGCGTTCGTAACCCGAGGTACCACTGTATAAATAAATAAATGAAATAGCCAATTCCCTTCTCTCTCCCTCTCTCTGTGAAAAGCTGAAAAGGAGGAGATTCAGGGAAGCTAGTAGCTACACAACTGAGTAGGTGGTTGCTAGCAAATAGCTCTGGAAGAGAGGTAGAGAAAGTTAGAGACTGGGATGTTTGGACATTCTGCTGCAAATCATTTTGTTTGGTTGGTTTTTCCCTAACTGCTGTGGATAGACCTGCATACACCTCTAACAAACAGCCTCATGGCCTTAAAAGTTTAAAGTCACACACCCAACCAGCCATAAAAGAACCACGAATCATGCTGTGACAGTCTAGAAGGCTGATCCGGAAACCTTTCCCAATGCAATATTTTAACATTTAGCCATATTTTAATTGTGAGATATGTTCAACATATTTTAAGGAAAACAAAAAAAGTGGTTTGTGGTACTAACACATTTATTGTTCCACTAGCTTTCAACTGTTGCAGCCTTTCAGATTCACGGAGTAGCATCCATATTATTTCTTTGATTTAGAAGCTTGTATTCAAGAGATGCAAAGTCTATATATGTTGTAGAAGATGAAATAGGAACTTATGCTATAACTATCGGTCTTTAAGGTACTCTTCTAGAAGGGTATCTTAGGGAAAGATGTTTCTACAAGATTAAAAGGATCATGAAAGGCAGGAGAGGGAGGTTTAGAAGTTGTGTGCATAGGGAAATGAATTTTTGGCCTACTTTATGGGCACTTTTTTAACAACCAGGATATCAGAATTAAAAGCAATCAGAGTTAAATCCAGAGGAACAACCATCTCAAACCTTCAGTGATGCTGCATCACCATGGGAGAGGAGAGATATGGTGTGAGTTTCTCAGTGATGGGGAGCCTCTTTAAAGCATCCTTCCTCCAGATGTGGCCTCATCTCTTAGAATTGTCAGTAATAGCTCAAGAATTCTGGGAGCTGAAATCCACACGTGTGGAGCGCCCAAGTCAGAAGGAGGGGCATTTAGACTTTACATAGGGAGCAAAACATCTCAGGCCAATACTGTAAATAGTTGAGCCTCCAGTATTAAATAGGCATTGATTACAATTGCAGCCAAGGTAATGGTATCAGGCCATTGAGAGTTGGTCTTGAATGGAAGAGATTCCATGTTGGAGTGCTAAAAACCTGCCGAAAAGACCTAATGTCAAAAATAATGCAACTAAGCCAATTGTAATAGAGAGCAAGATCATAGCAAGACCAGTGTGAGAAGATTAAAACAAAGGTTTAATGGAATACCTTGGAGCATTTAGAGATTTCATTTGAAAACCATTCCTAATGAGGTTTGGAAGATCAAAACAATTGAGAGGGGCAGAAAGTTAGGACTCTTAGCCCTAGGGAGATTATAAGGCTCTTAAAGGGCATAATTCTTGTCACAAGGTCAAGCTTTTACAATGCAGTTAAAAGGGATTTTCATAACATCAACATACAATATCAAAGGCCATTGGGATGAGGTGATTATTGCCCTGTGGAGAGCAAAAGTTGAACAAGAAATCAAACAGATCTAATCATTTTTATTACGCCCCACTTCTAAAGGCCAACTAGCTTCACATCACAAAACCTCTAAGAAATTATGGTGAAAGGGGGTAGATTATATCTGTCTATTTCCCACTGGCATTTCCCTCTCAAACATAACTATGGAACTGTCAGGGACCCAGATACAGTACATGTTTATTGAGACTCAGAGGACTTCTACACAGCCACTGGACAAATCTTTCACAGCAGTTTCAAGCTGCCAAGCTAGTGACTGTCACTTCTGAGCTTCTGCAACTGGCTAATGGAAGGACACAAAAATGATAGCTGGCTTATCGCCACCTTCATTCTTCCCTTCTCATGTCTGCTTTTTGCAGCCAGAAGAAAAAAATGGGGAGAACCAGGAAGCTACTCTTTGGGAAGAGCAGGAAAACAAGGTAACAGTGTCTTGGCTGCTGGAAAGTAGTGAAACATTTGGGTGGCAGGATACCTGTAGAGCAGTGTTGCCCAAACCTGACCACTTTAAGATGAGTGGACTTCAACTCCCAGAATTCCCCAGTTGAAGTCCACTCATCTTAAACTGGCCAGGTTTGGACAACACTGCTGTAGAGGGAAGAAATTCTAGGAGGTGCCAAGAGGCAGAAGTTCCAGCCAGCAGGAAACTGCCTGACTTACAGTTCCACAGGAAATATTTTCATTATATCCTTTGGATCAGAAGTTGAGGGGATAGATAATCAGGTTAGTTTCCCAGGCTCTATGCTTGCCCCACAGCATTGTAGAGACACAGAGGGGCAGCACTCAAACTAGTGTTACCTTTGAGTATGGGAACGGCCTTAGAGAAGATCAGCTTTTTCTCCAGCTGATCTTCTCTGAGACCCCTTCCCTACTCAAGGGAATATTGGGAAGGAACTCTCAGTTGGGATTTTTCAAATTGGGAAGTGTGGGCAGTCAGGGATGCTTCAGAGTGATGGAAAGGCATGTTAACAGAAAACAACAATAGCCTTCTGCTTTTTTCAACAGTAAAATCAAAAACTTCTCTAAGAGAAATGTGAAAAAAATTCTCAAGCGCCTGAAAATAAGGTAGCATTAAATACTGTCTTAAGTCCCAAGCAATACCTCACCAGCTTCAGTAACTGTAAGACTGGAATGTCAATGGACACCTAAAACATTTAGAATTACCTGGGCTATGGAGGCTTGAGGATTACCTATTAAATTTTTGAACATCCGTTTGGAGACCCACTTCAGCTGGTGAAAGAAGGAAGTGGAATAGGTGATTTTGGGGAAAGTGATCCCTTTGGTTTGACCCCTTGAAGATAGCTTTTCCAATTCTGCTTTGGTTTCTTGACTGTAAGAACAACTGGAATACTTCTCTGCCAATGTGTTTGCCAGTGTCTGATCGTGAATACTAACTTGAAAGAGACAAGAGAAAAATTGGTTACATTGAATAAGCTTTTTCATCCTCTAGATGAGACAGCAATTTGGCTCTACCATTGTGAGAATGAAATGCTTTGTTGCTAAAATACTTATGCTAATGATCATGATAGAAAACAGCACAGACCTATACATCTCTGCAGAGACATGCAAAGCCAATTCAGAACTGCTTGTTTGTTTATTTGATTTATATCTGCTTTTTCTTTAGAAACTTGAGATAGCATACATATATCTCTTTCCTTTAATTTTCCCCACAACAACCCTGGAAGATAAGTTGAGCTGAAAGAAAGTAACTGACTCAAAGTCACCCACTGAATTTCCATGTAGCTGAGGACAAACGTTGACCTGCATCTCCCTGGCCCTGGTCCCATACCTTCCTTCTCTGTCACAAGTCTATGGGAGTGGGTATATCCATTTATTTATTTTGATACTTTTACCACACTTTGACATCTAAATGTGTCTCAGAGTGGTACATTCTAAAATTTAAGAGGGAATAATAACAATAATTAAAAGAAATAAAAATAGCACAACAGTACCAACATTACAAAGTTGGTAGGAAGACAGAAATTGTAGAAGGAATGTGTGTTAGTCTATGATGGTAAAAAATCAAAGTCTGGTACCGCCTTTTCTGGCTAACAGGTTTTATTAAAAGGCATGAGCCCACTTCATCGGATGCATAGTGCGGCTAGAACTTCGATAGAGCTATGATTAATGCAGTCCAGTTAACACTGGGGTTCAAAATAGAATCAGCAGTAATAAGTCCTGGACAATTTTTCTGGCATCAATTTGTCAGGACCAGTATTAAAATATGTTCCATGTAATGATGAATGCAGCTTTCTCTACTTTCTGTGCTTCCACTGCATCATGATCAGTGAAAGTTATGGAGCACTTGGGCACATCCACACTGTTAGACTGCAAAGTTTTTAAAATACACGTATTTTCCAAATTTTGCTCATATAAGCATTGGTACACCTGTATTTTAAAAGGGGGACGCAGTGGCGCAGCGGCTTAATGACACTGAAAGTTGCCGGCCAGAAATGGTCGACACTTCAGCGGTTCGAGTCCAGCCTTCGCGTTAAA